AAAAGACGTTTAAAATTATAAATCTTAATTTAATAGTTTTTAACGTTAGAAATAGCTTATTTAAGCTATATTTTAAAATAGTATCATCATTATTTGGTGAATTATAGCCAGCAGTTATACGGTTAATAACCTTGAATGTCTTTACGATGCTGGAGAAATGTTTCTTTGTGATTTTTGAAGTGTCTGTCTGTCACGCTCTATATCGCATAACTGTTCATTATATAATAAAATATAGTTTATGCCAAGTTGTTTCTATATGTAAAGGCATTTTTTAAAAATCTTATTTTGTGTATTTTCTGATTTTTAAACAAAAAGGCAGCCTTTTAAAATGGGATATAAAAGGATTTGACATTATGTCATGTTCCTTTTCAACTGAAGGAAAAAGTCTCTTATACACTGAATAAATATTGAAAGTAATAAAAGAAACAGAAATTAATTACTTTAAACAATCATAAATATTGTATAAAACTATATAAAAATTTATTGAATGTTCTTTCTACATCGCTTGAATTATAAACGATGTGTTTATTCCACAAATAGGTTGTACTATAAACTCGAAAAAAAATAATTAAAAAAAAAATAAAGTAGTCAAAATAATAAATTTCTTATTTTAAAATAATTCAAATATTAAGCATTAAAAAATATAATTAATGATAAAACGTAAGAGAAAAATAGTTTTCTATTTTTGGCACTATTCGAAAATGTAGAAAGTTTTTGTCATCTCATAAACAATTTGAAAATTTAATAAAAACAAGAAAAAAAAAATATTTAAAAAGTTTGATGTAGGAGGAAAAAGTAGATGTAGTTAATAAAACTCTAGATCAGCATCAAAAGAAGGGAGAAAAAATAAATAAATGTGGTTATAACACGTCAGACATTGATGAACTTCATAACAGGAGACAATAAATAAAATCTGTATTGTATGAGCACTTTTCATACTCGTATGGTATTTATTCTAGCATGAAGCATCTGAGATCAAATTTATGTGCGACATACAAAAAATAATAATAAATAAATAAAAGAAAATTAATATAAAAAGTTATATAATAGATTTTTTAAATATTAAATTAACTATTAAAAAGATAAATTCAATTTGCATATTAATTGTAAATTATT